AGATATAGATATATTGATTTTCTATAAATCATGTGGATATATCCATGGTTCTCATACACTCATACTTCTCCTATGTTTTATGTTTCTCCTACTGTGCTCCTACTGTCTACTCGGGTATGAAACGTCTTAAGGTCGCTCATCCCTTTTTTCAACTGTGCGATTGGGGCAGCATTATTAATACATATTGTCTAATTATTTTATGGTGTGTGTAAAAATGACTGATTTGTGATAATATCTTGTTTTTTTGTCAAAATATCATTTTTTGTGAGTCAGGAGTATCCATTCTTAGCAGCTTCATCGGATCGCCTCTTGACAGAGATGGCCTGATAGAAATTAAATGCCTGCCTTCAATTAGGGGACCCCTAATATATGGTGTGTAGAGAACATCGTGTTACACAATAGAAAACGGTACCGTGTGCCTAAAAAGAAATCCCAATTATTATTTCCAGGTTCAAGGGCAACTCCACATCACCGAGCGCAGATTCTGCGACTTCATTCTCTACTGCGATGCCGATTTCAATGTAGAGAGGATATATAACGACGTAAGCTGTGGCGTGAGACGATGATGCCCAAGCTAGGGTATTTTTATAAAGAGTTTATTTTGCCCGAACTGTTAGACGGCAGAATTCCTCGTGGTATGCCAGTACGAGAAAGTACAAACATACCAACTCAACATGTACAAAGTAACCAGTAGCTTAGTAGTAGTAGTATTTATTTTGTATTTTATATAGATACCTACATCATATATTTTAGTTGTATTTTACATTTTAGGTTTTTGTTTTTACAATACCTCTCATCCACTTTTTTTACTATTTATAAGTAAGCCGGTACTTTTAGCTTAATTATTTTTTTTTAATTTTTGTTGGTTTTCGATGCTGCCAATTCAATTCACTCTAAAAGCAAATTCAACATCGCAAGCAAGCATAGGAGCTGATATATATGAAAACTATTTGAATTTTTAGTTTCGTACCTATCTTATAACTTTCATATATTATAGGTACATATACCTTAGGAAAAAACATTGTTATACATGGGAAATCATTTCTTAGCAACAGTGCATCGGCTCGTCTACTTTCATCGCTATTCGTACATATTTCCTACCGTTAACCGCAGACCTGTATCACGAATGAGAATAATAGGCAGATACGCTGTGTTGCCAATTTGAGTAGAGCTTCCCGAATTGTGGGGAATTTAGAGTTAAGTGTTGATTCATTCAAGCTTTTAATCAGCATGGCCTAGACGTTAGAACTTCATAAAGATAACATTGAAGCTGAATGCTGCTGGAGTATAGTGTTTCGAATATTCAAAGAGAAGCGGGACACTGTACTCGTTCAATGGGTCATCAAGCCACAGTCTTTTCAACAAAGAAATTAGTTTACGAAAATGCGTTATATTTTTACGATTTTGTCGTCACCAAATCTCTGTTTCTCAAAATGTACGTCTATTGTAGAATTTTCAGCAAACTAAGCAAGAAACGTGATCTAGTATTTACTCAACATTACGGATTTCTCGAAATACATAAAAAAATGTGACCTAGATACCTAACTGCCCCAAGCTCTTTAAATATAACACCTTAAACCAGGGTTACCAGATGCTCAGTCACGTTGATTGTCATGTTGTACTGCGCAAGTCAGCAAACAATCTGGCGTAATAAACGTTAGGAATCATCAGGTATTGCCAGATTCCCGAATACCGGGCACCATAGTAACCGTTATAGTTGTCCTTCAAAGTTGTCAAATCGCCACTATGGCGCAAATTCGCCACACCAGGCAACTGTGCTATAAACAAACTCTGTTTATCACTACTATTTGATAGTCATATGGTAGTTGTAGCCCTATCTAGCGGTCCATGATTTCCCTCAATACTGTTGTATCTCTACTGGCAACAAGAATAGGGATTACAAAATCATTTATACAACAATATACAAACATGAAAAATATGATTTGAACCATGAAACATTAATACAATTTTAATAGTTTGAACTTTTTTCATTTTTGGAATACTCTTATGTGGAATCCGCAGCTATTTTTCCCGAAATTTGGGTAGACTTAGATTTCTTAGAAATATGACATATTGGTATCGGCAACTCTGCGAATGGGAGAAACAAATGGCATTTGTTGAGCGCATCCGTCTAAGCGGTAGGCGCCAGCTCCCGTTCTGCCATCTCTCTCTTTTATCACTCTTCTACTTTACCCCGTTGTCCGTCACACTCCGATGCTGCCAGATACGATCCTACAATCGAGTGTCTTTCACGCACCTACATACTTTTGTATATTTCCATCTCTCTTCCTCATCATAATGTATAATAATGGTTTTTCCCATACTGTATACTGAAACTGTTTTTATTTAAATAAACGTTTATAACTACGATGCGTAGGTCATACTCTCCAGGCCAAATTGTAACTGTATTACCGGCATCACGTCACGTGCTGCCTGCCGGGATTCAGGGCTGCAAGTGTCGATTTGACGGCTTCAAATGGATAGGTTGGCGATCGGCTACTTCAGTGACGCCCAAGACGAGGGATGTCTTTTAAGTTTTGCATATAGAAACATAGTAGGCCGCGCGGATCGAACGTCAGTACTTAATCTTAACCTCACTCTTTAGTAAACTTAAATTTAAAGTTTCACAACAATACGTGCAGGGTTCTCACTACAGTGAATTTTAAACTGTCACCAAGTCATTAGAAAAATGGAACTCAACCAAGAACATTTTCGCGCCATAACTTATTACAACTTTCAGAGACAATTATCGCAACAAGAATGCCTTGCTGAGTTACTGTTTGTTTTCGGCAACGAAGCGCTACATCAGTCGACAATTTCCCGTTGGTATGGTGAATTCAAACGTGGACGGGTGAGTCTTAGCGACGATCCCAGGGTGAGTGCACCAAAAACGGCAGTCACCCAGGAAAACGTCGATGCTGTGCGCAAACTCATCATTGAAGATAGACATGTGACATATCGCGAGATTAAGGCGTCCTTGAAGATCTCAAAGACCTCAATTCAAAAAATTTGACATGAAGAATTAGGAGTAAGAAAATTAGTTTCTCGTTGGATTTCCCACCTGTTGACTGAAGAGCAGAAAGCAGCCAGGGTTAATTGGTGTCAAAAACGCTTGACCATTTCAATTCCGGAAACTCAAAAAATGTGTACAGCATTGTTAGTGGTGATGAATCGTGGATTTACTGTTATGAACCAGAAAATAAACGACAGTCGGCTGTTTTGGTGTTCCAAGGTGAAGACAAGCCAACAAAAGTCATCCATTCTCGAAGTGTTTCTTAAAAGATGGTCGCGACATTTGTGTCAAAAGCAGGTCATATTGCAACAATTCCTCTTAATGAGCAAAGAACTGTTACTGCGGATCGGTATACCACCATTTGTTTGCCAAAAGTCATCACCGAGCTTCGAAAAATCAACCCCGAAAGAAGAATCATCCTCCACCAAGACATTGCAAGCTCGCACTTAGCCCAAAAAACAAGGCAGTATTTAACGGAAGAAAACGAATTATTTCACCATCCTCCATATAGTCCCGATCTAAGTCCTAACGATTTCTTTACTTTTCCGAAAATCAAAAACAGACTGCGTGGTCAAAGTTTCCAGTCACCAGGAGAAGCAGTTGGCGCATTGGTTCTGCCAGCAAACGAGTGGAATAAGTGCTTCGAAAATTGGTTCGAGTACATGCATATGTGTATTAATCTTCAAAAAAACAATAAAGTCATTTAAAACTACCTACCGTGTTGTTGTATTTCCATATGCAAAACTTAAAAGACATCCCTCGTATCCAGCAAACTGGCGATATCTAGCGATTGTTATTATTTCTGACGCCAACTAATTTGTGATCAATTATTTTGCTGATATGTGTATGCAAAATAAACCAAATTTTTTTGAAGGCTTGAGTTCAATGTGTACGAGACCGAAGCGCGAGAAGTGTGTATCAACACATATTAGGCATAGGCAATGCGGTAATGAGCTTCGCTATCCAGCCGGCTTCTATGTTTTTCTAGCATATGTGTATATAGACACTTCTCTCTCGAACACATTGAACTTAAGCCGTCAGACAAATTTGGTTTTCGGTCGCGATTAGTGAAACATGAAGCGAGGACCATCGGAAGTCCTGTTCTCTACGCACAATGACTCTTATGGTTAGACTCATCTTAGACTCCTAGTTAATTTTCACTTTAAGGATTGGCGATTTCTGGCGATTTTCTCATCAAAACCTGGCGACCAACGTGACTGAAAACCTGGCAACCCTGCCGGGATACTCTATCTTTATTCTTTTTCTGAATGTAAAAATATCAAATATGGCGTTTGTTTTGGTTAATATCTAGATTATCAACGCTGATGCTCTTGGAGATATTTCGTAAAAAAAGAGCATAAAATATAAAACAACACTGTCAGTAGCTATGATGGTACGAGTATACGTGAGATGTATTGTGACTATTGTGGGAGATGCAGAAGATCAGGAGACTCTGTCATGTCATAAAGTGCTACAGGTAGACTGTGGACTTAACATATCGGCATGATGTATTCGGTAGATTATTTAAAATTGCATGTCTGGATTCAGCATCTTTATAATCCTTGTAGTTGGCACCGTTATATAAAGTATGAAAGGCCAACAAATTAGAGGCATAGAACTGAGCAAACTAATTAAAAGTGACTAGCTTATTCACAAAGAATTATGAATTACATTAGTGTTTTCTGTATTGTTTCAGAATTATCAAGAAGCGGTACATTGAAGTGAGACACGTGTTTTGCAACACTCAACATGCATTTGTGATAAATCTATTTATATTTTCATGTAATACAATCTTTATACCATTGTCAACAGCATATGAATATTGTTTGAAACTAAATAAATTTGGTGCTTGATAATTAGGGTTGGATTTTATTATTTCTAACTGCTGAAAGAGATATTACCTTCAATATCGGAAATATCATTTTCAGCAGATTCCAAATTATGATCAAACCAAATGCCCGGCACATTCCTAGCATTCCTTATTCCAGGTGTATTCCCGGCATTCTTTCGATTTCGATAATTCAGTTCCTCAGATCTCCAGGCGAGTAGGCGGTGCAACCATCGGACAAAACGTCGACGGTGTTTCCATTGTTTAACGTGTAGTTCCAAGTTCTTAGCCTTATGTGTTTTGTGTGCCTACTGGTGTTTTGTGGGTGATCTTGTCCAATCCTGTTAATTTGTTGCTGTCATCTTTTGTATTGTGATTTTCGCCGTCACAATTTTGGAGTTCGGTTTTATTAACTTTTATTAGGTTTTTCAAACGAAAGTGTCCATCTAGTCTAACTTTGTGATAGACCTGCCAAGTACCTCAGCTAAGTACGTTTATATTATAGTTGCCCATTAAGTGCTGAAACCTTATTCCTAAATAATTATGGATGCAGAATTTGATGGTTCCAAAGATGAGGAACGGGCTTATTATTTATCTGTCCTCTCAACATTTAAAAGCTACAGGTAATATTTCTAAAATATTGTTAGTTGGTGCTTTATGTCTATATATCGTAGGAGTTAGTTGCCACGTGCTTTTATTAGCTCCCTAAAAATCTAAAATAGACCGAATTGAGGTTAGGACCTTGAATTTACCCATTCTTTTCTATTCTATTCAAATTTCAGAGAGCAGTCGCTACTCAGAATACATAATAGGGAGAGGACACTCGAGTCATTGCCAGCAAGACACCGGAAATGGTTAGGAAAGTATAAAGAAGATTTGGAAGATATAAAAAAATGTATAGAAGTAAATGCAAAAATCATTCCTCTGGTGTTGAGGGAGTCGCATGCAATTTTTGAAAATGTATGCTCGAATGAGAATCCTTCACATTCAGAATCTGAAGTAGGAACTCTGTCTGAGGGACTAGACAAGGTAATCCAATTTAACTATGTAAGGTAAAGTGGCATGTTAAGATTTATTTAAATACTAAAATTAACATGCATCAGTGATGCAGATACAGGGGATTAGAGTGCATTATTTTTCCAATTAAAAATAGCAGGACTTTTTTTTCCAAACGCAATTTTTCGAATTTTTCCTGCAATTTGCTGCAAATAATTACTCTGGTGTGCACTGTTTTTGTAAAAATAAAACAAATTAGAACATTAATGAAGAGCCAAGTTACAATTAGTTTTAAAATAAAATAGGGGGCTACAAACTTGATGTTTCTTGGGAGATAGTTTGACAAAGCTAAATGTTATACAGTTGTTAGCGTTAGTACCATTATTTCTTTTTTAAAGTCACAAGTTTATTTTTCCCATTAATCATTGTGAAATGGAATTTATATTATTTTTGGGTATGGGTCCTGTAATGGAAATGCTTTAGCAGCATGTCGGGAGCATCAAAGTAGATTTCCTAACAGATGCCAGCCTACCCCAAAGGCTTTTACACGTTCATTACTAAGACTTCGGCAATATGGAATTGTCAAACTCCCCAGAGTTAGAGGCCATGGTGTCTGCCATACTGTTCAAGAGGAACGGGAAGTGATTAATTTGGCATTGGCTGATCCTAGTACAACTACTAGGCAGATTGTAGACCAGTTACCATGTTCCCAAAGTCTTGCATGGAGAATTTTAAATTTTACATCCTTACCATCAACAAAATTTGCAATGTCTGCAACCCAGTGACGAAGTGCATCAGCAAAATTTTTGTGAGAGGTTACTGCAAATGCATAATCAAAATGCAGATTTTATTGATTTAGTTTTGTGATCAGATCAATCACTTCTTATGAGGAGTGGAATCTTTAATTTTCATAATAATTTGGTCGTTGGAAAATCCTTGTTCTGAAAGAGTTCACTCCTTTCAATACAGATTTTCTATAAATCTCTGGTACGGCATTTTCAATGGCCAACTGTTTATGCGTGTGGAATACCCATCAAACATTCTTCAATCCCAGAATGAACTTCAACCGTAGTAGGTACCAACAGAGTTTAAATGGCATATAGCTACATACTGCTTTCTGTTTGTGAGGACGGTCTGCAGCCATTCTAATGACTGTTTTTTTATGCCATAATATGCTAGCCTATTCAGAAGTGTATCATGTTCGACACAGTCGAAAGCCCTGCCGAGGTCACAAAAGACCACAACAGGGCTCTCCCCTGCAATGACAAAGTGAACAACTTCATCATAAAATGTATGGATAGCAGAGTTTGTTGATTTACTAGCCTCAAAACCATGTTATAGCTCGTTTTCCCCAACAAACTTCAGCAGTCCATCCAATATGGTTTGTATTCCAGTAATTTAGAAAAAGAGGAGCACAAAGTAAGAGGTCTATAATTCTTCATTAAATGCCGTCACCCTTTTTATATAAAGGGAAAATTTTCAATATTTCACGAAATTTTTCAAATCAAAAAGAAAAATTCATTAAAAAAGTCATAGGGTAAAGAATCTTAGGCAGAACTTCACGTATCAAAAAGTTAGGCACCTCAACAGGACCAGATGATTTTTATTATATTATTATATAAGTCTCTCAATGATAAGCTTGTAAAGTTCTTCTTCTAAAAAGCGACCAAGTGAAATGTACTCTCCTTGATATGACTAGTAGTGACTATGACATTGGTTTTCTGGATTTTGGCAGTTACATCCCCTGCAGCGTTTTTTAAAAAGATATTGAATGAATTGGCTACAGTTTCAGGGCAGTCAGTAATGGTACCCATATCGCCCACTTTTACCGACAAATTGTTTTCCCCGAGAATTTTGTAATGATGCACATGAGACTGGATTCTTAGACTCATTTATCTTCAGTTTGTAAAATTTGCTTCTTGAGTCTTTTATCAATCTTTAGTGCTCTCTTTTTGCATTTCATACAATTCCTTAAATTCTTCATTGAGTTTTGTTATTTGGAAAAGCAGCTTGAGGTGGCTACTTGATTGCCTGATCGTGTCATTAACCCACTCCCTGTCATTAGTTTTTTTGTGTCGCTTCAAAATCACAAAGTAATTCTCAAAATAAAAATTGAAAATGTTCATGGAGTTCGAAAATGGAGCACCTATATCTCTTATACCATACAGATATGACCACTCCTCACTTCTAAGAGCTAGTGTAAAATCTCTCATTGAATCGGTATTAAAATTTCGAGAATAGAATTATGTGCATTCATCACCTACATAAACGTTTGGATCAACAGAAACAATCTTGTGGTCACTAATTAAATTGTCGGACACTAATATTTCCACACAGAAAGTTTACAAATACAACAAATATAAGATCTAAAGTTAAATAACATTATGATGTGACCCTTGTTGGGTCTGCCAAATCGTTAAAATTCTTATATTCACTAGAACAATTACAATCACCAGTTAGCACTATTTTTATGTTAGATTTAAAAACATGTAGTAAAAGTTCACGCAAATGAACTAAAAAACACTGCACCCTAGATGAAGGCGACCTATAGCATGACAAAATTACATACATAACCCCATTTAACTTACAGGTCAGCGCGCAAACTTTAATAGCCTCATCTTCACAAAACTTGCCAAGATTTATCACATAGTTAATATTTGCTTTTGTCCATACTGCTACTCCACCACCTTTAGAAGTCTTCCTACAATAATTGGCAGCCAGCACAAAGTTCTCCAAATGAAAGGCCCCAATTGATTCTGTACATGACCAGGTCTTGGTAAGGCATAGAAAAAGCAGCATATTGTCAGAGCTTAGGTCACAGTTATTTTGAGCACATTTTGCAGTGTTCAATGCTTGGCAATTCATTAATAAAAGTTTATTATGTTGTGATTTTACCTCCGACTCCTAAATCTCGGTTTCATTTTGTGAAAATTTTGCTTGTTTTGGTTATTATTTGGAAATGTTGAAAAAGGCTTCACTATTACATTTTCTGGCCATAAGTCTGCATCAAGCATGCTCTCCACATACTGAGGTTTAACAGATATTTTACAGGACAGCCTTGTTGATGTAGCTTGTTTATTCGATTCTATTTGGTCACATGTAATTACTGGTAAGTTGTGCTCCTTCAAAAATTGTCTCAGCTTTTCTGATGATGACTCTGTACTTACATTGCCCACATAGAATGTTCTACAATCTTCTGCAGCAGATATAAAGGAATTATCCTTACTTGTGCCTTTTATTGTGTTGGTTGATGCATGTGCTGGTTTATTTTCTTTCAACCCAGTTCCCTTATTCTCCTTAGCTACCGCATCTGTGGTAAGTGAAGTTAGCAGTTGTCAAATTTATGTATTTATTGAATGCTCCTCGTGACGCTGCTTCTAAGATAGCAGGTTCAACTTTTTTCATTGTGAAAGGGCCATCTGTTTCAGATCCATGGATGTTTGATGGGCATTTGCAGTTAAAGTTTTCAGAAACTCTGTGTTCCTAAAACTACTACCAAGGGATTTAGCAACCTCATTATTTTCTTTTTTAATAACAACTTTCAAAGTATCAATTTGACAAGCTACCTCACCCATGCATACTTTTATTATCTTCTGTAAGTTTTTCTCAATTAGATCACTATGTTTGGTTTTTCCTTTCTCCTTTGCGACAATATCCAGGCGCTGTTCAAAATTATTAACTTTTTTATTCTGTTCAACTATCTGATCATCTTTCTTTACCAGCTTAGTTTTTTTTACATCATCTTCCACCTTCTTCAGCCTTTTTTCTACTTCGCCGATTTGAGCTTTTTGCAAGTCTTCTTCAAGATTATCAACTTTTTCAATTATCAATGCAATCTGGACAGAACAGGAATAATGACCTTGATTTTATTATCATGACACGAACTTCTGATGGGATAATGTTAGCGCAATCCGCACAAACGACTGCTCTACAAATATCACATGGAAAACCAAATAGTTGACCTTTTTCTTCCTTCATAGTACACTGATTTTGCATTTGTAACAATTCATGGCCATGTTGACACCTAAGGATTTTCTCTGAGACTGGCAACGTCTAGCCCAGAACTCGGGAATTTCAATTGTGTTGCACGTTGTTACTATTGAAATTTTTAGCAATAAAGCAATATTTCAAGTGATGCCTTCAATGTATATTAATTATCACCACTTAATTCCTATGGTATTGCAACTTTTGGCTAATTAACACACTTGAAACAACATCAAAAAACACACAATTTCTTCTGGACCAAAACAAACCAGCAGCTACAGTGTTGCCCAACCGAACCTGGAGAATTACATAGAAAATGTGTTAGATGGTCCGTTAGCAACGAGAGTACGAATATGGCATCAGCACGACGGTGCCCCACCGCATGTTCGTCGTGACATAACCGCATGTTAAATAATCATTTCAAACAACGATCGACTGGCAGAAATGGACCCGTACATTGGGCGGTCTTCTGATTTGTACCCCCTGGTTTTCTTTTTGTGGGGCACTTTTAAGCAACTAGTGTATGCTGAACAAATTAATACTGTTGATCAGTTACAAGAAAGAATACATAATGCGTTTCATCAAATTCAAGCCATAGCAAATTTTGCGGAAATACGTTTTTCTATATTAAAAAGATGCCGTAGATACTTGTATCCGTCAGAATGGTGGTATTTTTGAACATTTACTGAAATAAAGCTTTGATTATCTAATTCGTTTTTTTATTTTTACGAAAACAATGCAATCTAGGAAAAAACAAGAGTAATTATTTGTAGCAAATTGAAGGTAAAATTCGAAAAATTGCGTGTTTCGAAAAAACACATTGGCGTACTATTTTTATTTGGAAAAATAATGCCACTAATCCCCTGTATCTCCGCCACTGGTGCACGTTAATTTTAAGTAAAGACTTTCGAATGTGGACAATACTTAGGTAAATCCACATACCAAACTCTAGTTCATTCCAGTTGACGGTTTTGAAGATATTAAAAAAATATTTTTTATTTTTAAACATCAACACTCTGTATCTTTTTACCTGTAATGAAGTCCTCGAGGTTAAAAAATATTACATAGTAGACCCCCTTAAATTGCGATCCTGAGGATGAAGTTCCATTTTTGGTCACGATTTGTAAATGAATTGCAACATTAGGAGCAAACCTCGTATTCAACTATTATGATTTTATTACTGAATCAAATAAATATGAATGTTCCTTAGCTGTTCCCATTTCTTGTGGTATGCTACCTAATTGCAAGATACCAACCAGAACCCAATATTATATTGGAATTATACCGTAGTCTAAGCTTCAGTGACACTCAACTCTACATCATCAGAAATGTTGATAAGAATGGTATAGGAGATAGCTGATGTAGCAAAGTTCTTCAGTTGTTTATTGAAAATTTGTAAAATGGTTGTGATAACTGTGATATAATTTTGACTGGCATTTCAACCAAAAAGCATCTGGTAACAATGGTAATGTGCATTGTAGCCATAGAGCTACCAAGGACACAATTTCAATGTCATTTGTGCAGGGGGCATAAACATGGTGTGATTTATTAATCTTCAAAGAACATTTTTTTGGAAAACAGTATTTGAATGAAGTGTATGTTTCACGCTTTTATTTGAAACCTTGAGATGAAGAAGCTTCATTATAGATTCCGTATTTCCAATTGTAATTTTTATTTTTAAATTATTAGTTCATTTCATTAACAGCTAAATAAAAGCTTGTTTTTAAAAATGCAGTCCTTTTTACTTCCCACGTCTACCGGCGGGGAAGATATTATGTTTTCTGCATGTTATATGACATGTACATCACGAAAAACCATGCCACTCATTTCCTTCGGGCTGTCTGTCGGTCTGGCGCTAATCTCATAACCACCTATAACTAAACTAACTAAACAAATTTTGTAGGAGTTGAAAATTGGGGGCTCTAGGAGGTGGGGGTAGGTATATTTCATTATGTTAGTGGCAGTATATTTATACGCTTCCTACCCCAGTAGATTTACGTACCTATCAGTACATATTGCACGCACCAAATATTTCCCCGTACATTTTCCCTTATAACTTAGATAAATATTTATAGACGAGATATGTGATCTGTCGGGACGATGCGATTCTACGGCGACTTTCATACGCCGAACCCTGCCTTGCGTCTGACAACATCGTCGGCAGGCACGTTATAGTAGCGCGTATGACGTGTTACTGGACTGGAACGTTGCCAGATGGTCGACACTTAGGGCAGGGAAGAAACTAGCGATAGCGTTATCAAATGGATGGGGACTATGGAGTATGTACCAATTGTATATGGGCCTGTTTGGTTGACTTGACGGATTTAATTTTGTTGTTATATGTATTGTAGCTAGCTCAAAGGGACTAACTTGGGCCGAATGTAATCCTTTATGAACTGTTGACAGCATTGCGTGGAAAGTGCAGAATCAACCTACTGGACGCCATTTTTTTCAAAGATATTGAATGTGTGAATCATGATATACCATTGAAAAAATTAAATACATAGTATATGGAGCTTCTGGAACTTCCATCAATTAGATCAAAATGTATTATATATCCCAAATTGTTAAAGTAGCAAGAAATTATATTTCAAATAAATTGAATATAAACACAGGGGTACATCAATTGCTTGAAAATAGTAACGAACTATTAGATATACCAATACAGGCCCATATTTTTAAATCTCAAAATTATGACTGTAACATCATTGTTCATTTTAGAAACAGCAACTCTGATTTTCTAATATCTAACTTTGAAACATTAAATATGCTTATAACATTTTAAATTTATAATACCAAAAACAACACAATTTAAAGATATTCTGATGTGTCCTTAAAAACATTTTAATAAATAAACCATATTATACATTTACTTAAGATCCACATATTTAATTGTATTACACTGTTCTGCACGAAAATCATCTCTGCCAAACAAATACGTTATTTCCAAGAGTTCTACATAATGTGTCCCTTTAAATTGTCATATCACGTAACGTAGTCCAGAGAGTACCAACAACATGGTTTAAGCAGGTGTAAGAATGTACCTGTGCGATATTTATGTTTCTATAGTATAATGGGGTACGACGTTGCCAAGTCTACGTTTTCCCTTAGTCTAAGGAAAGTATGTACAATGTGGCAACACCGCATGAAGGGGTATCTGGGAATGTCCCTAGGCCTTCAAATAAAGGAGATAGCCATTGAACCCCATGTAATTCCAAATTTCACCGTACCCTATAGTCGTCCGACAATTACTTATTGAATGGCCCCTGTATACAAATATCGTTTCCGATCTCTTGATTCCCACTGTTTCTAGAAAATAGCAAATGTTCGAAATGGGTATATAAGCTGCCAGCTTGTTGGAGGATCAGCGTTACAGTATTCAGCAGTGGATATATGAACGAAGCAATGCAGTTGCGATACTGTGTGAACCATCCGAACAGTTTCTGTTGTATTTGGGGTGAGGTGACACTGCAAGCTCAGCGAAAGACCTTGAGCCCACTTGTAAGAAAAGCCTACGAGTTATATCTCGGGTTCAAAGTTGCCAATCAAGACAAAACCTGGGTTCCCAAAACACGATGCCGCACTTGCTTAAGAACCTTAGCAGGATGGCTACGGGGTATTCACACTTCTATGAAATTTGGAGTGTCAATGATTTGGCTGGAACCTAAGAATCATGTTGATGATTGTTACTTTTGCTCAACAAAAATTCTGGGATTTTCTAGTAAAAGCAAGCATAAAATAGTGTATCCTAATATCCCCTCAGCCAGTAGACCTGTACATGCTGACTCTTCTAGTATACCTGTTCCTAAGCCTCCAAAGAAATATGATGAACCAGATAAATCTGACACAGAAGCCGGTCCTAGTTAAGAAGAGGAAGTCGTTTTCGAATGTAGTAGCAGCAAACAGCCTCATTTTATATCCCAGGAAGAGCTCAGTGATCAAGTTCGTGATTTAGATTTTCCCAAAAGAAAAACACAACTACTTGGATCTCGTTTGCAGCAATGGAACCTTTTACAAACAGGTGTGAAAATGTCCACGTTTCGAAACATTCAGTCTATGCTGGCCGAATTTTTCTCGATGGAAAATGACTTAGTTTACTGTCATGATATTCCAGGCTTACTGAATGAACTTGGCATTTCCTATGTACCTACCCAGTGGCGACTATTTATTGACGCTTCAACACAAGTCTAAAGGCAGTTTTGTTGTTCACTGTAAACGAACGGCTATCAGTTCCCGTTGCTCATGCTGTAAATATGAAAGAAACATACCTGAACATGCGCATATTACTCCAAAGCATAAAATACGAAGATCATATGTGGAATATCTGTGCCGATCTCAAAGTTATTGCATTGCGCACAACAGTGCAGAGTGGCTTCACAAAATATTGTTTTTTATGTGAATGGGACGGCAGAGCCAGAAACTAACATTATTTAGTACAAGATTGGCCGTTACGTGAGGACGTTATGCCCGGCCAGAAAAATGTCTTTAATGAACTGTTAGTAGATCAGTAGAAAGTTAATTCACCTTCTCTGTCCATAAAACTAGGGCTTATAAAAATTTTCGTGGAAGCCTTAAATAGAGAAGGAAATGCATTCCTTTATTTGAGACGGAAATTCCCACGTATATGTGAAGCAAATCTTAAAGAAGGAATTTTCGTTGGATCTCAAATACGAGAACTTTTTAAGGACCAACATTTCAAAACTTCACTTTCGAAAAAGGAAAAAAGCAACTTCCAAGGTAACAAAAAGCCGGACAACTACAAAGATCTAGTTGAAGAACTTATCCAATCTTTTAAGGCCTTAGGTTGCAATATGTCACTTAGGCTGCATTTTATTCACTCCCATTTAGAATTATTCCCTGACAATTTGGGTGCAGTTTCAGACGAGCACGGTGAAAGATTTCACCAGCAAATTGCTCAAATGGAGAAGCACTTTGGTGAAAAATGGACCCCAAACATGCTGGCGGACTACTGCTGGACCATTAAACGTGAAACTGCTCATGGCGAATACAAGCGAAAAAAGACAACCAAATAAATTGTTTGATTGTTTTTTATACAATAAGAAGTATATTTTATAAAAAAGTATATTTGTAATTTTTTTAAAAATTCACCACTAGATCGCTTATAATTTGTGATTTTCATATTTTATATTCTTCCTTCTCTAAAAACTTGCGGGTGATGGGGGGAAAGTGAATGCATATTAAATTTCAGTCACCACAGTAAACGCAAAAAAACCCGCAAAAATTTCGGAGAGCGACAAAAATTTTCAGAATGCCGAACAGTGCTATATTGTGGTTCTAGTTATATTTGCCAATAAGAATCATATTCTCCAGACAATAAAGCGCATCTATCTATGAAATATCTTCCAGGTACAAATAGTATTCAAGCAACTAATGCGAGACTGGAGCTCATTGGGCGCGGCGGAACGGACACAGTGTTATGGTCCCATCCTGCACGAAATATTCACCCACTATCCAGAAGATAAATGTAACCGCGGCGAAATCAATGTACTAGTACCTGGGGCAGGTCTTGGAAGACTAGCCTTTGAGATTGCTGCTAATGGCTTCTCATGCCAAGGCAATGAATTTAACCTCTTCATGCTTATAGTGTCTTATTTCATATTGAACCTGTGCAAGAAGGTGGATGAACACGAGATATATCCGTGGATTCACCAGTATTCAAACAATGTTGAAGCTGAAGACCAGATGATTAGTGCAAGGTTAGTATTTGATTGCCATGATAATGTTTCTATTACAAACGTTTTACTCTTGATATTATGAATACAATCCTGATAATACTTCTTATATGACAGTTAAATACAACCCAGCTAGATTTTGCTTATTTTTTAATAAACCGCACACTTTCATTAGTCTTAAGTTCAAAGTATAGATATTAAAATGTTGATGCAAGTGAATTGTAGGATTAGACTTCCACTACAACTCTTCCATAATTTTAACTGGGCAAAGCCCAAGTCTTGAATTTATCAGGTTTTCTAATAGGGACTTGACAAGTGTGAACGCACCTTTAAATCAATTACCGAACTGTCAATGTCAAAACATTCAGTAAAGAAAACATTTTCATTATGGTGAAGTACACGAACGAACAACGCTTACAAATGATTAAAATTTACTACCGAAATTCCAAGACGGTGACTGCAACTTTAACAGCCTTAACAGCAATTCAGAGTCTAGTAAAAACATTTGAGTCCACACATTCGCTGCTGGATATTCCCGTGCCAGTGAGACAACGGGTTGGTCGAAGTGCCGAGAATATTGCTGCCGGTCAAGCTTCCGTCGCAAACGAACAGATCACGTCGATTCCAAGGCGTTATCAAGGATTGGGCAACGCTCAGACCACACCATGGCGAATTTTACGAAAGAGATCTTGGCCTGCACCGTTATGATATCAAGTTAACTCAAGAACTGAAGCCGACGTACGTTCTCTAATTGGGCTTTAGAAATGTTACAAGAAAATGACCAATTTCATCGCAAAATCTTCAGTGATGAGGTGCTTTTTTGGCTAAACGGGTTCGTCAACAAACTGAATATGCGTTATTGGTCAGGTGAAAACCCTCATGTGCTTCAAGAAACACCACTTCATCCACAAAAAATAACTGTATGGTGTGGTTTCCATGCCGGTGGTGTCATTGGGCCGTTTTTTTTTTTCGTTGATGAAAATGACCGTCACGTTATAGTCAACGGAGATCGCTACACAGACATGTTGCAACGTTATTTTTTGGTCAATTGGATGGGCTAGCCATTAATGATATGTGGTTTCAACAAGACGGTGCCACAAGCCACACAGCGTGTGAAACAATCGACATATTGAAATCAAAATTTGGTGAACGTGTTATATGGAGAAATCATCCTGTCGAATGGCCGCCTAGATCGTGTGATTTAACACCTCTAGATTTTTTTGTGGGGCTACATTAAATCATTGGTCTATGTCAAAAAACCGGCGTCGTTAGAGGAGCTCAGAGCTAATATTGAACGAGAGATAGCGGCCGTTTCTGTCGAAATGTGTGGCCGAGTCATTGAAAATTGGGTTCAACGAATCGATCGTTGCGAACGTGCCCGCGGTGGACATACGAACGAGGTCGGATCCCATACATAAATGTTTTGAGACTTCAATCCAATGATAAAATTTTCGAGATATCTCAAATGGTATGCTTTTTATTTAAAGAGAAAGTTGTCAAGTCCTTAATGGAAAACCCTTTACATGGTTCAAAGTGCAGCTTCCAAAACAAAAAATTGCTACTGGTGTATTCTATCGGCCCCCACATAGCTCTGTTACAGAAGCCGGTAATACCTTTGATGACATGTTGCCTGTCATATTAGCTGAATATAATGATATCATCCTCGCAGGAGATAATGATGTTGACTTGACTAAATGACTTGATTCTTATAATATGAAACAGGTGATATCTGAACCGACTAGGATAACTGAATCGACACTAACTTTGAGATCCTATTTATTTAAGCAAGCCTGAAAGTTGTCTTATGAGTGGCACTATTAATACTGATGTGATTAGTGATCACTATTTAACCCCTATGTATTGCACTTCCTAAAAATCATCACAAATTTGTGACGTTCAGGGACTTCCATAGTTTAAATGAAATAGCATTTGAACGTGATCTCAAGAGTTTTTCATGGTGGCATATTATGTCTATAGATGACATTGAAGGTAAAATTAACTTTTTATGGCTCCACACTGCAAGCGTGAACGCGCGAATGTTTGTTCTGGCCAAAACGTACGTACACGCACATAAGATCCGACGGCGTTGTTTACAATACAAGCTCGCACAGTAGTTGCGTTTTGATTCGCGCGTACTCGTACGTTTAGTTGCGACGTGCGAACAGATCCCGTCCTGTTGGGATTTTTGCGTGTTTGCGCAGTTATGTATTGCTGGAAACATGGACATCTGGTAAGAGACCGAAAATGTCCATGGGACCAAATTGGAACTGTAAAAAAATATAAAAAGTCGCAAACTTCAAACATGGAGGAAAAATTTTTGGAAATAGAAGAAACAACTAAACAATTTTGAAAGAAATTCAGTTGACGATGACTGTCAGTTTTTAATCAGCCTTTTGCCATATTTAAAACGCGTACCTCCACCAAGGAAATTAATTGAAAGATCTCAATTACAACACGCATTAATTGCTGATGGAATGAACTCATCAGTTCGATTAGCAACACAATCCCAGTGTCAGAATTTTGTGTCTTCAGCCAGCACTAATTCAAGTAATTGAAAGTACTCCGATTCGGGAAGATTTGCAGTTTTCTTTGCCAACATTTTTTCAAACTTACGATCCGCGCTAATATATAAATTATTTGTATGCATATATTATAAAATTTAGTTTTATTTTGCGTTTTAATAATTTATTTTTTGTTATCAAGAAGAATGTTTACTTACCTTAGTTAAAGCTAGCCGTTCCGTAGGACTGATAGGGTTTCGAAAATTACAAAAATTGGTTAAACTGTCCTTTGCCGCTGCCAATATACAGGGTGTCGGCAAAGTTGGGGTTTTCCTTTACACGACGAGAACCGAGATATTGGGCTCCGCAAATTCAATCAAACTTGAACCAAGCCGAGGCCGGTCCTGTCCTATCCCTTGATCACGTCCACAGCGCCAGCGTACAGTTATACGACTACGATGTAAATACGGATTTTACGACAGAGCCGTACGAATTTAAATTCAACTGAATAGTGGCTACTTTTTCATTTATTTTTTTTTTACTTGTTCGCTCACGTTGTGATATCAAGCGCAGTTGTGTCTGAAAAGGTAAACCCCAAAATAAAGATCACCAGCCGACATTTTGTTTTCTCAGATCGTTCTGTTTGCAATTCGCTCATTTTTAACGCAGCCAGTGTGCGAAGAATTGACGCACGTATATGCAAGATTGAATTTCGGAAGTATTCGCGCGTTCACGCTTCCACGGTGAGTGAACCATTAACAGACAGTATTTTATGTTTATTAAACAAAGCTCCTGCTCCTTGGTTGGATGATAATATTAAACTTGTATTCAAGCAGAGAGCTGAAGCTTTGTCAAAGTTCAAAACAGTATACATATTTCAGAAATCGTGCATTAACACTCGTACGGAAAGGAAAAAGAGATTATTCTCAGCTGTTCAAAATTAGGATATAAAAAAGTTTTATAAAACCCTAAAGACTTTCAAAGTGCAATCTCAGAAAGATTCTACAATTCCCGTGAGTTTATCAGATCCGTATAAAATAAATGAGGTATTCATTTCAATTTTCGAGAACAGTGATTTGAGGTGTGCTGATAAAATTGCATATTACCGAGCTAACAAAAACAACTCAACATCCAATTTCAATGTAGTAAAGTTTCTACTGACACCGTTGTTAAAATTATTCATGAAATACAATCAAATTCTAGTGGTTCAGATGGAATAACTTTGCATAATAGGATACTACTATGTATATCTGAAATTGATGTGTTCTTAACATATACAAATAATAAACAGCTGTTTAGAGAGGGGTTATTTCCCCGATCAGTGGAAACACGTTATAGTTGTCCCTCTACGTAAACTAACTGAGACAGATTTGTCTACTGCCTATTTTCTCTAAAGTATTGGAACGCGTTGTTTACGAGCAGCTCTATATTCTATAGAAATTATTCCATCTAAACAATCTAGATTTCGACAAGGTCATAATACAGCTTCGGCACTCTGTGATTTAACAGACAATATAACAATGGCGCTTGACAACCAAAAAGCAGTAGCTCTCATACTTATTGGCTTAACTAAAGCATTTGATACAATTAATCATTCAGTTCTTGTATCTAAAGGCAGTTATTATGGATTTTCTGAAAAAGCTCTTCCGTTTATTCAAACCTACCTTGAAAGTTGGTATCAAAAGTTCGTCTAAATCAACAGTACTCTACCGCACAAAAAAAGTGTTCTGGTGTGCCATATGGATCTGTCTTAGGACCCCTGTGATTTTCATTATATATCTCAGACTTAGTAACAGAGGTAAAATCATACAGCATACATTTTTTGCCGACGATGCCAAAATTTTCTATTCATTTGGGAGTAATAACTTGAAAACAGCGAATAATAAAATTAATCAAGATCTTGCCCAAATTGTTAAGTTTAGTAGTAGTAATAATATTCGTTTGAACCCTTTAAATACAAGTATGTTGATATACTTAAATAAAACAAAAAGGAATCCTTTAAAAAAGGACACAGACCTACATTGAAAAGGTAATACCTAAATTAATTCCTAATCTAATTTCTCAGCGCTACGCTATTCTCAGAGTTTTATTTGCAATAAATCTGCGAGAAAGGAATTGTTTGAATCTTTCTTGTTTTCAAAAATATCGTATCAGTAGTACTGTCCCTATTTAGATATTATAACAAGAAATCGTATTCAAAGTATTATGAATACATGTTGCAGACTTGTAAAGGATCTCAGAAAATATGATCATATATCGATGAAAATTGATAAAATGTATAAACATGTACGAGCTCCTAAGTCTGACTCATAGGGTTCTTTATTCAAAAACACCGTCACATTTAGTAACCAAATTCATATGTAGAGGGAATATGCATGGAATTGATATTAGATATAGACTTTTTCAATTCCGCGCCACAGTACATATCTATACTAAGTGACATATAAATCCGAACACCCAGTTTAAATGGTTTTATTTTAATAAAAATTGGTGAATGTATTTATCTTACTGTAAATAACAAGTGAAAAAATTTTCAGCCTTATCAGTTGGACATTCCGGTTTTTATACTGCTTTTTTAATTCACTAACGCTCTAAAAATGAATATTTCAGCCGCAGTAAAGAATCAACGTTGGCGGATTTTGGTTCTTGACATCCTTTACGATCGGTTACGATGCCTAGAGTACGGAGACCTGTACGATTTCGTCAACTTAGTGAGTTTGATAGGGGCCGTACAGTGGGACTTCGGGAAGCTGGACTTTCTTTTCGGGCAATTGCAGTTAGAGTGCAAAGAAGTGTAGACACTGTGGTTAGGTGTTGTCAGGCATGGCTTCGAGAAGGCCGTACGCAAAGAGCAAGGGGCACTGGACGCCGCCGTAGAACAACAGACCGTGAAGATCGCCGCCTAAGATTATTGGCCTTAAGGGACCGTTTCTCCACTACCAGGTCCATTGCAAATGAATGGTTTGCAGAACACGGAAGACCTATTGGCATGCGAAGTGTTTACCGACGAATGAGAAGTTTTGGCTTGTTTTCATACCGGCCACACTGGGTCCTCCCTTTAACTCGAGAACACCGAAGTAATCGCCTTGAGTGGTGCAGACAACGGTCACTCTGGGATCAGGAATGGAACAGTATTGTCTTTAGTGACGAGTCTCGATTTTGTTTAGGCATGCACGATGGTCGTGCCAGGGTTAGAAGGCGACGTGGTGAAAGGAGGAATCCACAGTTTTTTGTTGAAAGACATGTTCATCACACTGTTGGAGTTATGGTTTGGGGTGCTATAGCTTATGGTTCCAGGTCACCTTTAATCTTCATCAGAGGTAACATGAACGCGCAGCGTTATATCCACGAAGTTCTAGAACCCCATCTTTTACCCTATCTTGACACCCTGGCAGATCCAACTTTCCAACAAGATAATGCCCGACCACATGTTACAAGAGTCACAATAGACTTCTTTCAACATAATGATGTCACATTGTTACCATGGCCACCAAGATCTCCCGACTTATCCCCAATTGAGCACGTGTGGGATATGATGGGTAGGAGATTGCTCAATTTGCAACGTCCTCCTCAGACTCTAGAAGCACTTTGAGAGGAGTTGGTGGTTGCCTGGAATGAGATACCACAGGAGGACATTGACCACCTGATCAGAAGCATGCATAGGCGCGTTGGAGAATGCGTAGCACATCAGGGTGCATCCACACATTATTAAAGGTCAAAGGGCTTTAAAGCAGTGCAATCATTTTGAAATTTTTATCATTTACTTATTATGCTTCATTAAGTACTTATACAAAATTTTATTAAAATAAAACCATTTGAACTGGGTGTTCGGATTTATATGTCACTTAGTATACTTCAGAATACATATATATTTGCATTGCCATCAAATTATGTCATTATTTAGACTGTAGTTTAAAAGAAACCAGTTCATTACCCAAATTCAAGAAAAAAGTGAAAGAAATTCTACTTGATCAGCAGTGAAATCTGTTGTAACCCATAAGATAGATGGATAGATAGATTATATTTTATTGCCAAAAATGCCTCCATGCTAAAATTTATTGCATCACGGATTATGTGATTAAAATTTCACTGCCATTTTGTTTTAATTTTAGAGAGTAGTTTTTGCCACTTTCATTTCTAAAAAAACTCAAAGACTTACGTTTTTTTTTGTTTAGTTTTGTCGTAGTTTTAACGTATGTTTCCTTCTTGTCACTGACTGTCAGTATAACAACTTGCTTTTCATGAGCGTGTGATTTGAATCTGCTCATGTAGAGTAAGATTTGAGGGCTGCCAGACATTACTTATTGTTTCAAAGACAAAACTTGGGTCATTCAGTAGCATTTATATGTACCTGCGTATCTGTTGGTTGGATAGTGGTCAGATTTACAGATACCAGGTGAGAAAGGAAAGTAAGTTTATTTGTTGTAGATTTATTTAGCATTAATGCTACTATATCAATGTTACACAGTATATCACATAATCTATTATGACTTCAAGCCTGCTTATTTTTTCCCCCTTTAAACATTTTTAAACTGCCACACATCTTTCCTTTTTGAAATACAGATTTGTTTGTTATATTTTGTAATTGAAAGTCTATATTCCCTGTACTAGAATAACTATAGTACTTACTCATTGTTCAATTCAATAAAATTTTCTAAATGATTTGGTAGAATATGATCTTTTGACTTGAATATGAAAATCAAGTAGGTTATGACATTTTTGATATTTACTCACTTTCAGCATAAAATTTATTTTAGTATATTTATTTTTATTTAATATGATTATCATCTCTCTCAGCTTTATTTTGTAATATTTGTAATTTAAAAAAGCACTTTCATTTGCATTGAACAAAATAGTCGAACAATATAATAACTGAGGAATAATGATCATGTTGCATACATTTTTTTTTTAGAATAAACACTTAGGCTATGTGAATTTCTATAAAAGTAATTTATCTTTTTGGATACTTGTGAAATAGTGCCCTCAAATTTCAATTTACGATCTGCTCGAATCTTCGATATAAAACATAATAGTTCCTGAACCTACAACTACAATGTCGACAATCTGTATTAGAAGTATTTCCTGAAAGTGAGTGAAAACAACGGCACTCAATCACCCAGTTTATGAGTATGTGCAAGTAGTAGTTGTGCTTCGGTAGGGATATTACGTATCTTGAAAAGTGACATTATGTCGGTTTTTTCCACATTATGTAGGTTTTTCTACAAGATGTCGACTTGGAACTAGCTGTTGTTCACTTGATGTGCACTCCTTCTGTAGCTGTATGTGTTGCCTGAACGCCATGACGCATCAGGTATAATTTTTCTCTCTGATCTGATTTAACGTCTGCTTTAGAGATGGTATTATTGGAGGTCTAAGCTGTAAGTTATATACTATAGCTGGGATGAAACGTCAGTCCATAGGTGCATAGTGTGGATTTGTGTGCTAATAATCTGTGTTGATGATAATTCTATTGGTTTCTTGTCTCAAATACATTTACTTGAGATGTATGCAAGCTAGAAATTAGTTGCGCATCATTTTTTTATTATTCATCCTCGAAATTACTTATCCAAATTTGATGGAATTCAAAATGAGACAGAGAAGAAAAGAAACTCCCTGGCTGATGAAGTATATTACAACCAACAGGTGAAAAAATATGCCACAGACAGGAATATTTAATAAAACGGAAAAGATATTAAATTTTACTTAGTTTTTATTTCCATTCATTTAAATTTTATAGAAATGTATTGCGATGTCAAGTAGAAAACATAAATCGGCGCCCAGATGTGAGGCACTGCGAAAATATTTTGTGTGACATTCCTAATTTTTCTATGATGTGGCTTAATTACACAAAACGCCGGTGCTTTTGAACGGGAAAATCGTAATTAATAACTTTGAACACAATCTCTCATCAGAAAGGGCAACACAAATAACCCGTCTGTAACAGCTAATAGATACACTTCATGGGCAGCATCAGTAATAATTTTCTGACATAGCAACTATCACTGTTTTTATACACCTGCAGACTAATACACACTAGACAATCATCCATATGCGATCTTGCTACTCTGCTACTCCACTCATTTTCTTTGTCACATCTCAGAAATATACTCTACAGGTCTACATACTATCTAGGCATTTTGCAACTAACAAGGCATGCTGGAGAACTGACTTGCAATTGGTCATTGAGCATGTCGTTGAGTTATTCCTCTACAAATGACGCATTTGTTGATGCTGGCTAGTAATAGTGGAGCGAACTATTTGCATACTTCACACTAGGAACTATCTAGTCAGCAAGTTGACATTTTATCGATTTTAGGACATTATATAGGTTTTTACGAAATAACCCTGCCGATCAGCTTGCGCAGTTTGCATTTTTCCTAAGATAAGTTTAGCTACACACGTTAGTACGATTAGTAAATCTGTTTAATTATTTCGGATGACATTGTGCGCGACGTTACGTATGCTTATCTCGCACAGGGATGGCTTCCGGTTGGATTGAGTATCTTCTCGTGGAATATACGTTAATCAATGGTTATAACAATAAAATACACTTAGGGAACGAGTCGTGTTAAATGTAACCTGAATGAAGCTAATTTTTTTCCAGGGTGCCAGATGTGATGCCTGAAGTTGCCCCAGAATGTAAATTCTCAATGGTAGCTGGTGATTTCTTGGAAGTTTATAAGATAAGTGATGAATGGGATTGCGTAGCAACATGTTTTTTCATAGACTGTGCTCCAAATGTGGTGCAGTTCATAGAGACAATCTTCACAATACTCAAGCCTGGTGGTTTATGGGTGAACCTAGGGCCACTTCTTTATCATTATGCTGATATGAAAAATCAAGACAGTATTGAACCCAGTTTTCAAGTAGTTGAAAAAGTGATACAGAAAGTTGGATTTGTAATGGAAAAATGCGAGACAAACGTGAAGACGAAGTACTGCCAAAATCCGAAATCCATGTTGCAATATGAGTATGATAGCGTCTTTTTCGTATGTAGGAAACCACTGTCGAATGGTACGGATCAGAGTGAAGGAGAGATAGAGTCTGACAGAGATGCTATGAGCATCGAACCGTGAAAAATGGAAATTCTTTGAAATTACCCTTTTTTCATTCAACGTTTGTTACGAAATACTCTGTAGGTACTAAGTTGTGAAACTTTGCGCGATAATTAATTTGATGAATTCAAATATATTTATTTTGTTTAAGAATTATGTTTCCTTTTTCAATCATCGAGGTGCCTGTTTGTTTAAGTTTTATACTTCCATGAAAATAAACCTTTTAAAAAACTATTATTTACTTTTATTGTTTATCTTGTCTGGTCAGTTCTAGGAAAATGTTAGTGGATGCTTGTATTCTTAGGTAATGGAATAAATAGGCTAGTTGACGCTTTTTTAAGTAGGTTTTAAATAGTTAATATTTGTTCTACTACACCAAAAAAATTAATATACTTCTTTCAGACCTAAGATATCATAAAACTTTAATCATGTCCGCCATGTTTGGTCCATGTTAATGTTCTTAGACGTCATAAAATTTGTAATCAGCAGCATAACCTCACACTCTTTAAACATAATAACATGAATTCTACTAGTTTACATGAAATATATACTAATTATCGTTATTGTATCGTCCGAGAATGTAAAAATACATCGATAAGAGTACGGAAGTGTATTACATAATTCTTTCTTCTTGTGTCTATCATTGTATCAAATGCTCTGTACTGCATAGAAGTCTAGATGTTCCTCAGCTCAGTAGAGCAGAAATCTTTGTTGAAGGCAAACAAATGACCATCAATGTGTCAATTTTTGGCAAATTTGTGTTTTCTGCTTTTACGAATCCAACGTCCATGATTGTTTTTTTTTTCAATAAAACGAGAAAAAGTTACTTGAGATGTATGCAAGCTAGAAATTAGTTGGGCGTCCATTTTTTCTTATTCATCCTGGAAATTACTTATCCAAATTTGCTGAATTTCAAAATTAGACAGAAAAGAAACTCCCTGGTTGGTGAAGTATATTACATCCAACAGGTGAGAAAATATGAAACAGTCCGGAATATTTATGAAACGGAAAAGGTTATTACATTTTACATTATTTTTTATTTCCTGTCATTTAAATTTTATAGAAATGTATGACGATGTCAAGTAGAAAATACAAATCAGCGCCTAGATGTGAGGCAACGCGAAAATATTTTGTGTGTCATTCCTGATTTTTGTATGATGGCTTATTTACACACAACGCGGGTCTTTCTCAAAGTCTTTGAAAACGGAGAAAATCGTAATTTATAACTTTGAACATAATCTCTCTTCAGAAAGGACAACACAAATTTGTGTTTTCTGCTTTTACGAATCCAACGTCCATGATTGTTTCTTTTCTCGATGAAACGAGAAAATGTTAACATTTTACGTTGATTAGTAGTTTTTTAGCAATATCTAAATAAGACACCGTTGGCCCACGACTGACATATGAATGATGTCTCTTTGTTTACAATTTATATGACGTCACATCATGGCCGAGTGTTTTAATCGTTTCGTATTAAAAATTAAAATGATATACGTATTTCATTTTTAATTCCATAGGTTGTAATAGACACATTCAGTGTCTGTTTGATATTGAATCCTAATAATTATTGCTGTGAGTTAATGCTTTTGTGGGAGAGCATTTGACAGTAATTCATGCCATGTTGACATGCTTCATATACAGTGGCGATTTGACACGTTTCAAGAAACAAAAATCGTTGAATGGAATACTCTGCTGGTGGTAACGGAAGACGAGCCTCGCGAATCTACGCCCAACGGTTTCCAGAACGTCCTCGTCCGCATCACGCCATTTTTGCAAGGATTCATGGACGTCTTCGAGTCAGTGGCAGCATCAGAGACCTCGCGGGAGCAGGGCGGCCCTTCACGAGGCGCACAGCAGAATTTGAGGAAGCGATTCTGTATCATGTAGAGGCCAATCCGCGTACAAGCGTGCGTGCTATTGCACATGATATGGGAGCGTCTCAAACTACTGTTTGGAGGGTTCTCCATGACCAGCAACTACACCCATACCACCTTTTAAAAGTCCAAGCCATGGGTCCAGAAGACTATCTGCCGCGTCGACGTTTTTGTCGTTGGTGGCTGCAGCAGGAGTTGAGGCAACCAAACTTTGGTCGCTACGTTTTGTTCACTGACGAGTCCTGTTTTACAAAGGACGGTTATTTTAATAGCCATAACAGTCACATTTGGTATGAAGAAAACCGTCATGCCATAGCCATCCATAGAGACCAATATCAGTTTTCAATTAACATCTGGTGCGGCATTGTGGACGAGCATATCATCGGGCCATATTTGCTTCCAGCACGTTTGGATGGGCATGCATGGTCGATTCTTACAGCATGTGCTACCGGAACTATTAGAAAATGTGCCACTGAACATAAGAGCCAACATGTGGTTTCAACACGATGGCGCTCCAGCCAACTTTTCTTTACAAGTGCGGCAGTATTTGGACGACAAATTTCCAAATAGGTGGATAGGCCGAGGTGGCCCTGAGCCTTGGCCTGCGCGGTTACCCGACCTGACCCCACTGGATTATTTTCTCTGAGGCCATCTGAAAGCTTTAGTGTACGAAACTCGCGTTCCCAACCAACAACAGCTACTGGGAAGAGTGATGGCCGCGTCGGCACATGTTCAGGACATACCGGGGGTATGCCACAGATTTCGCCGATCATTGAACAATCGTGCACAGCTGTGTATTGAGCAAGGTGGAGGACACTGAGCAATTACTGTAGGTAAGCTGTTTCAAGAAACTGATCTTTTTTTTTGCTGCAGCCCAAACGGCATATTTCCGATCAGGGGTTTATAAGGCAAAATTGTTCATTTTGATGCCCTCTACAACCCCTATCATTTTGTCGCAATAATTATGGAACACCCTGTATATTTTTACGTATTTCAAAAGTGCTTAAAGTTAACTTCGCAGAAACTCTGCTTTCTTTTGTACCTATACTGACAGAAAATACAGGAAATTATAGAAAATAATTTGGCTATACCATGATAGGAAACCGACTGAAGGATGATTTCTTACTATCCTTTCTTACGGAATGTTTATGGTTTGAAAGGTTTCACCCAGAAACCAAAATTTGAAGAAGTTCGCTTTTCCATCAAAGAGTACATTAGAGGTACAGCTGAGAAACGGTCGAATACATCCTTGAAACAAAAATCATTCTTCTAGCAAATCGTTTCGGCAATAATTTTTATTGGTCATTATTTCTCACGTCAAAGTGGACCGTTTATGAAGCATCCGCAAAAAAAAAATATCTATTTGAAAAAATAATTTTCGCTGAATATAATCAAGAGTGGGATCGTTTTAATATACCCCAAGCTTACTTATTTTGAGATGAGAAATAATAATCTTTAGTTGGTTGGTTAATGATGTTATTCGAAATTATTTGGCCTTATTGCTTTTTTGTTCTTGATCATTTTTTTATTGGAACGTAGCATCTTTACAAATGCCATTTCATCATTTTCTTGAATGCCAACACCTATAGAATAACTTTTATTTTTTCCATTCTGCTAAGGCACGTAAGCGGAAATCATAATACAGTGAAAGCTCTCATAAGCGGGCAGCAATGGTTCCAGCTTTTTGTCCGCTTATTGGAGGTGACCGCTTAAAATAAAACTAACAAATATAGGAATTGAAGAGTTTTTTATTTATAAGTGACATGATAACATATATGTATGTACATACAAATATGAATTTATAAAGTATATGATAATTACATATATGAAATTAAGTCTAATTATAAGACATGTATGTACACGTTGTACATAAAATTATAATTTATAATTACATATATGTATGTATAATGAAATACGTACAACATACATATGGTATGTATTCATGACATGCGAAAACATTTTTTAATTTGTTTAATTGTCTAAAAATAGCAGAATTTTTCTATTTTTTAATGCCCTTTTTTCAATCCAACTCGGCTAACCACTCACTCATTATTTCGAGTGTCATCCAGGCTTTTTTATTTGGCTTCCACATAACAGGTAAATCCTTAATGTTTACATTTTTCAATGCTCGATGGCGTGCAGATTTGCCAATCACTAACAGTTTTTCTGTTTGTCCAGTCATGCTTGCACAGAATAATACGTTTAGTCTTTCTTTCGATAATTTTCCCCCCGAACACTTTTCAGACTTTAAAGCCAGTGTCTTATCGGGAAGCGCACGAAAATATAGACCGCTTTCGTCGGCATTGTAAATGTCTTCACATTGGTATCCCAAAAGCAATGAATGAAGTTTCTCTATAAATGCATCGACGTCGCTTTTGTGTCTTTCCTATATCAAATCGCACTGGAAGCGGCTTTGAAGTTGACAAAATTTCATAGCATCCCAATAACCGGCTACTTCCATTTTTCCGAAATTTTTTCACGACACTGAACTAATATTTCACAATTTCACTTCCCTTAGGAATGGATACCAAGAAAAAAAATAAATTCCGTAAATATAGTGAATGCAGGTTAAAGGAGATAGTAAAAGTTCTGAGAAATGTTGGCAATTGCTTGTAATGAACAAATAAAGTAAACAGCACTGATGAAGGTTTAGTTCCATGCTATTCAATGGCAACACGGTGACTTGTGTAGTTGGCAGCACCCATTTTTTGAGGGTGCGAAAGGATTGCCAAAACTGAGATTGCTATACTTTTATCTATAGTAATTTGGTGGGATATGGGAGATCTTATAACAGCATGTGTTATTAACATTTTGCGCTATCTTGACGAATAAGTGCTTTTATATTAAAATAGCAACGTCAATAACAAGCTGTTATAAGATCACTCATATCTACTTACTAAGCTGGAAAGGTTCGGAAGAAAAACATATACTGTAAATACCTAAATATATACTTATTATATAAATCTCATACATTTTTCTATAAACAAATCAGTAGTAATATTATTATGGTCCAGATGTTTTCGTTCCCCAGCCTTTGTTGGTACCTGCATAAATAAAAAATTCGGAAAAAATTGAATAATTGTGTTGATATGTTACTACAATTCAGATTTCTTTTTTTTTATTAGAACAATATTATTTTTCATGGGTACCCTCAGGAATTTTTCTCAGGGGTGCTGATCATCATCAAGAGATAACTTTTTGCAAAATTGTACCTGCCCCCATAATTTTTTGATGAGCAGAGGTAGCAATTTTCTCAGCAGGGACATTTCTCAAAGTTGTACACAAAAGCAAGCTAGAATATGCAAACGTTAAAGACAAAGCGGATTCTCAGGAGAGACCATGGCCCCCCAGACACCGCCCTGTGGGCAGCCATGTTATTGTTCAATAATCAATAACATATGGCTTCAATTTAATTGAAATTATAGTTAGCTTTGCATATCAACCTGCTAAATGGAATCATTAAATTCCAGAATATTGTTTATATATTATATGTGCAAATTAGTGTAACACAGGGCATTTTCACACCCACCCTACTTATGTAAGGCTGGGTGTTAACGGTCATTTGATCGAGGATTTGTCCTTTTTGCCAAAAATATTGTGTATTTTCTATAATACAGTAAATATATGTTTTTTTTGTTTTTGTTTTTTGGCACATAACTGTATTTTGAATTTGATATAAAAAATGAAGTATGGAAACTAGCTTGGGCAAAAAGCAGTACAAATAATCACTGGTTATTGAGTCATAAAAACAAACAAATGTTATGGTCTGCAAATATCCTTCAGAGCTGTACCTTTTGGTAAGATCACAAGTAATCTCCGAACTTCTGATAATGAAAATTATTCTCAGGACCTTAGGGGTTGTTGACAACGGCGTCTGAACTTTTCGTAGTGCTCCACTGTTCAAAAAGTTATGCGGAGATTCCAACAGGCATGATCTTCAAATATACTCCTCAAATGAGTAACTGCTTTATCTCTGATCTTCCTCAGGATCTACCAGCAGCCTGGCTACTGAGTGGGATCACTTTGGATCACCTTAAAAGAGAAACAGGTTTGATTTGGAGTTTGTCTCATAGTATTTACAAATATATTACAGCTTTGTGTACTTAGTACTTACATTTTTATACTTTACAACTCTGAACAAAAGGCATATGTCTCAAATAACATAGAATAGGGACTTTATTGAATTAAAATTAAATGTTCCGAAAATTTCATGCTGAAAAAAGTAACATTTTTGCAAACCACAGGAGAACCCCGCATTCCCATTCGTCCATATTAGTTTCACGTTCCACCTCCCTGGTAAACAGTATGGTAGTCATATGGTAGTTGAGAGCGCAGGACCGGATTGAAGGAAAAAAGTTTCTTTTTCATTTTTATGTAAGTCTTCATTTCTATTCTACTACCATAATTTTTTGAATTCAGTTCTGTCTTAACTCCCGGTCACGCGTACAAGTATCACCACGGTCTTAATTGAGCAAACCGGTTTGTACTGGGAACACGTAGCGTGTGGACGATAAAACTGTGGCTCGCGCAAACCTAAAAATGCGGCTTGTGCGAACGTCGCTCTGCTGAGAGTTTTACTTGCGCAAACCTGTTTAAGTAGACTTGTGGACGGCGAGCAGGTAAAATGGCAGACTTACGTAATTGTTCTAAACAATTTAGTTCGTTAATTGAATTGACATGCGAATGTTTATTTCTTCTTAGAAGCCACTTTTTGCCACTTTGATCTATATGTCTTTTTCTTCTTCAGTAAGAGACAGCATAAAATGCACTCAAAACAAACAATTCAAACAGTTCCGTCTTTATCGCGCAAACTAGACCGTACAAGTAAGTCGCTGTCGTGTGGCCGGGCCTTATAACTGACAATTCGAAAGTGGAAATTAGCCGGCCGACTAGTAGCTCCTTCTGTCCGAGTACTGGCAAAACAGTACCTTTTTATTTTTTTAGGAAACACTCTTTCAACCTGGACACGTCCCTGTTCTGCAGTCATAAGAATGATGCCTCTAGACAACATGCTAATACAGGAGCCTCTGGTAGTGAGTAACTAAGCGTAACTTAGAAACCGGGTCGCTAGATGACGCTATGTATAAAAAATCGATACTTGTCTTTCTCATAAATGAAACGTCACTTTGTGACATCACGTATCACGACATCACGAGTACCTCTGTCATTTTCCATTTTGCGAATTTGCCATTCCTTTTCCGTGTGTTTTCCGGAAAACAAGGCATGGTTCACGAGCAGTGCGACAAAAACCGAGTAAATCTAACCGATTGACAACTAAAGCAGGTATTTTTTCCACCACAGTTTCATCAAAAACTCAAGATTCCACCGAAAAACGCTTCCCAGCCCGAAGGGTGGCTTCCGAAGGTAAGGCATTCGATTTGGATTACCATATTTAACTGTTGCTTTTGTTCTGTAAAACTATGCGTATTATCTTTTGTTCTACAAGAATTTGCCTCTCATCTACTTGTAACTGAATTAAATGGTATTTTTCTTAATTGCATCTCTATGATCGATACGAGGGTGGTAAAATATGCAATATTAAATTGCAAAATCTAAGGATGAATGTTGTGTAATATTTGTATTTGTACATCTATGCAAATTTTCCTTTGTTTAGAGATATTTAAGGCTATGAAATGGTCAGATTTCAGTATACATCAATATCATCTGCTAGGAATATCTTGAAGGTTTTTCTAGAATCTTGAAGTAATTTTATTATGTCCATGTGATGTAGTAATTAATATTGCATGACATGTTGGCAGAATGAAGAGTGATAGTGCTTATTAACAAAGTACAATATCCCTCCATAATCTGCTCAGGCAGTTCTACAGACCGAAATTAGAAAATTACACAAAACTTGCACAAAAACCAAGTGTATTATGATCCATTTTTTATACTCTTTTCATATACAATATTTAACAAATTGCGAGTTTGTGTTGTAGATTTTAAATATATTTAGACCTTGATTCTTCTCACTCATAAAGTCACATTCGAAAACATAGATCAAGTTTGCATACCAAAGAGAAAATGCAGCAAAGTTGTCAACTTATGTACGCTTTGAAATGGCTTTTTTTACAGGCTGGAATGTAACATAGCTCATCAAAATAGATCCATTTTATTCCTAGCAATAGCATACTCACAAAATTCCTTTTCTTGGAATATTTTTCTCTTTTTTGTTCTGGTTGGTTGTACAATTTATTTTTAAATCAGAACTTCTTCTAAACCAGATCTAACAAATCAGAATTATGTTACATTCCAGTCCACTCTAAGTACTGAATTTGTCATACAAAAGAAATTCGAAAGTGTGATAAAACAAGCTATCTGGTTATAAGGGCCAAATAGCTGCAAACCATAGATTATCTAGAAATCAACTTAAGTGTTGCATATTGAGGGTTAAATCATACCCATTTTTCAAAGTATGCATAATGTGGGTATAAGTACACCTTGTATGTGACATTTGTTCCCCCTTTAAATAATATCATCTGCTAAGAACACGTTTGGTGAAAAAACAACATAATAAAGGATATAACTAATATTCACATGTTTCTTAATATTTGTATTTGCAACTCTGCACTCACAAAATTCATGCACATATTTTCATACATGAGGGTATGAAAATAATATCACATGCTTGAATAAAATGAAAAATATAGGTTTATTTTTCTACTGAAGAAACATGTATTAAATAACACCCATTCTGATGCACTTGGCTAAAAACAAACAAAAACAGTATATATTATGCAGAACTTTTCAAAAAATACCATTTTTTGAATGGATCAAGTTATCAGCTGACATTTGTACATATTTTAATTCATGCATAAAAGAGATAGATGAAAATTTGTTTTCAAAACAAACAACCATTGGGATTAGCTTCGCCAGTTCCAGAATAAGGTGCAATAACAGGCATTTGACTTAGTTAGCCTTGGACAAATGATCTCATAAATTTAACTGAATGTTCACATTCGCAAATGATGAAAAATTAACATGTTTTACACCCTGTAATGTAAGTCTGGTAATTATTGGCTTTTGCACAGTGGGTACTTGAATGGGTCAGTACCAGTATGCTTGATTTGTTTTATTCCCATATTTATGTGGTATATGCCCCAAAATACGAATTCACTATGAAAAAATATTACTTTGAACATAATCACTTGCATTACAGTTTTCTTGTGTCCTATCAATTCCATTAACTTGATCCTCCTCATTTGTATGACTGAGAAATTCTTCTAAATATATGATAAATATATAGCTAAATGAGTTCGAATAGTAGCTAGCTTAAATAATATTTACATTGCATTGTTTGTAGTCGCCAAAATTGTGTAGTTTTTGTGTACTTTTGACTCATTTGTGTACCAATGTAACAGCATGGTATCAAAATAATAATGATACTTTCTAGAGGAGACATCTACCTTCACTAGGCTTGTGCTGCCCTTTGCAAATTATGTATTAAGAAGTAGTATGTCTTGGAATCATTCAACATCACAATTATCTGCAAACTCTGACGTTTTCTAAAAAAAAAAGCATTAAATCTAAGAGTTTAACGATAGAACTATAAAAAAATGACTTGTCAAGTGCACTTTGATCCTTAGTACAAACCATGGGAAGAAGGACACAAACAAATCCGTGACTGGCTCGTTCTGCCTAGTATATCATCTAGGAATACCATTTTTTTTTTGTCCAACATCGATTTTGATGCCTGGTAGTCAAATAAATACGAGTTCTTCTACAATCAAATACTGATTATCAGAGAAAGTTCTGTACTTTTTTGTGGTCGTTGGTATGTATATGTCATAAAAAAGAGAAAAAGTCATTCACCATTCAAAGTACAATACAATTAAAAAAAAAAGGAACACATTAAGAACATACAATAAGGTTAGGTACACATCAGAAATGTTCATAATACTATTCTTCTAAAAATACAGTATGGTCGGCAAAGATGGTTTGAATGGGTGAATTGGAAATTTGATTTTCCTCTGTGTTTACTTTGGCTCGGTTTTCCATAGGTCCCTTAAAAATATTAAAACATGTGGCATTTATAAGTCAATATTTACATATAATTTTAAATAATAAATTGAAAATATATCCCTTACAAAAATAATGCCAAAAACGTTTGTCCGGCCTTTTTAACATTATTATGATTAATCAACTACATACTATATTGGTTTATTATATATAGTTTTTATTGTCTCTTGAAAACATCAAATTGTGACCTAGGATGTTTTGCAATGTCCGATTTAATTATGAATCCGTCACTGCTAACAACTGTTAAAATGTGAATTTTTAAAAATCCACTAGGCAAGTGGTAAAACTGTAGTTTAACAAACTATTCGTATATTCAGCATGAGTTTGTGAAGGTGCCCTTACAGTGATGTGTCCTGCAAGGAGTTAAACTTCTGCTTGGTATCAACATAACTTCGTGGAGGTGTCCTTTCAGTTTAGTGATCTGCAAGGAGTTTACCTTCATCATGGTATCAACCCATTCTCATTCATTTCAGGTAAATATACGAAAATAGAAGCCTAGATATGGCTAAACATGCAAATTCATCAAAAAACTTTTTTAAAAAACCAACTAAAAGAGGTGATACCAGAACAAAAAAGGGTCAAGGCAGTTCTTTTGGTAGTTCCAATGTTCAAAAGACTGAAGCAAATACTACAGATGACTTCTTTATAAAGCCAGGGACAGAAAGTGTAAAAACTTCTTCAAATGTATCAGAACAGTTTAGTGCGAGAAAAAAGGATGACAAGGTTACAAGGAATAGGTATCAAACAGGCCAACACCAAAATCACCAGAAATGGAGAGAGGCTAAATTTGATCGTGGTTCTGAGAATAGATTTCTTGGAAGACCTGCAATAGATGAGAGGAAACAAAACAATAATAAAACTTCAAATTTTGTGAAGCATGGTTTCAGGGAAAAGACTAAATTTAGAAGTCACACAGAACATTCTGAAAAAAATGAGAATGATCAAGTTAAGAAACCATTTGACAAAAAGAAATACCGTCTCCAAAAATATAGCAAGAAGTACAAATTGCAACAATGGGAGGAGAACAGGAAAAAAGCCATCATGCATGAGTATTATAAGGCTGTAAGTAAGTATGATAGTAAAGGCTTAGATGTGGAGAAAATCTATCAGGAATACGCGTCACAAGAGGCAGATGAAGAAAATGACAATAATGTAAATGCAGGGCTTGCAGAGGATGATAAACCATCAAAATCTGGAGGAACTGATACTGCTTCAGAGAAGCAAATTATGCAGGGTAAGTTATCAGAAACTTTAGGGGCAACATGTCAGTTGATTTAAAGCGGGTTCAGGTGTATGGTAAACAATTGACCAAAAAAAGTTATGCCAGAATCTATGTTCGACTCCTTTTTTAACACGCTTTTTTAAATAATTATGTACATATCTTAATTAACATGAGCAACGCTAGAACTGACCATATTTAATTTGAAGTTGTTATATTGGATGGCCTGGCATGTAATCAAAGTAGTTTTTTTTTTGAATTATTTTTGAACTGCTTTCTGTTTTTTTACCCTAGCCAGCCGTGTATACAGGTTGATGATTTTTTATAATGGGCAGAAATTAATGAAAGTTTTGTAACAATACCTAATGAAAAAGCACTTAAATTGAGTTAATCAAATGTTTTTATACTGAAGCAGCTGCGTAGACAGAAACTGAAAAACTGAACTGAATTTTGCTTGTAATACAAGAGGATTGATATAAATTGATTAGTTGTTGCGTTAAAACTTTGGATCCATCAATGGGCTTTATCTGCTTGGTTACTCTTCAGTATGGATTTATTTAATAACTTTGTTCCCATTGAAGATATTAAATATATAGAATGATATATTTTAGTTATTACTATTTTTAAAGAATGTTAAGGCTATTGAATAATTACTTTCGATGTCGCCTTGCATCAGTATAGACTAGTCATTGGAGACAGGAAAGGAAAACCAAACAAACGAGAATAGGTCTGTGGAAAAACTCAGTATTGTAGTGTGCGAAGGGGTGACGTACTAGTTGTAGTGGTGAGAAGGCAAATATTGGCAACTAGGCCCCCTTTGGCCCTTTTTGCCGACCCCGAGTGTACCAACACTCTCCATGGTTATCCTTCTGTCTGTCTAGCCCTCCTGATCTCCTGTCGCCTAATGAAGGTCAGGATGTCCAGTCACCTTGCTGAATATGCAACCTTCACTATCAAACCCCATGGCTTTGAATAACTCAGATCTTAGGCTGCAATATATCGGTAAAAGCCTAAAGTGGAATGCTGTTTTGTCCTCTCAGCACATGCAGACAAATCTGTTCACTCTTAAATGAACGATAGAAGAACGAAACTAGAGGCATACCGACCACCATGAGGAGCCGGCGTATAGGCCGCATAAACAGGCTCTTATGCACCTCCTGAGTCCCAGCTCCTTAACTTTCTGGTGATCCAAAGTGCTTGTCCCCAGTATAGTCTGCCTGTAGTAGCTCAGAACCTCACAGCATCACAGATCTTCCGCCGAGAACTCTTCCTCCACCCCGCAGCGCTCACATATGGGATCCTCAGCCACCTCCATCACATGCAGGTAGCGCCCCATCGTGTTATGGCCAAACAATCCCACCAACAACCTGAGGTTGGCTCTATTCAAAGATAAGCAAAAGCGTTCACCCTTAACACTGGGCCCTACGATGAGTTCTAGTGCCTGATGGATATGTCTAGAGATGCTTTTCAATTTCTGAGTGTGTTGTCTAGCAATCCACTTCTCCATTTTCTTCCTGATTCTGCGCGGCCACCTCTAGGGCTGGCTCAGGACCAACAAGCTTGCTCGCCCTTCATCTCAGCGTGCCCCGGTATACACACTAACGATTCTGGGCGCCTCGCTGCTAGATTCTGCAGAGCCTCTCTGCCATGCAATACCAGGCTCGAAAGTAATCTTACAGACACAGTGCTTTCGTCGCAGGCTGGCAGTCGGAGAAGATGATTGTTCTCCTAGTCCCTTCCTCCCTCCAAAATGCGGGTTTTAGACAAGTGCCTGTCCAGTCTACAGTGGCCAGTGAGAACTACACCAAAAGTGAAAAACCTCGATGTATCCCTAATAACCCTACATGATGGCAGACCTGTCTATTGTACGGTTTCTCAGGACCAATTGGTCAAATTTTGAAAGAAATCAAAGGAGCAACATTTTTGTATCATAACATCCTGTAATTGGATGTCTGTGGTTGAAAATAGAAAAATCATTTTCCTTCTTTCATTTTATGCTTTTATTGATGGGATACTCCAAAAAACAAACTAAAACTAACCATCCAGGGGCAGATCTAGAAAATATTCGGTGTTCCATCCGACCGAAATGAGTAAGATCCGACACTGAATTTGCATCATTTTCAAATTTAGACCAATCGTTCCGGAGAGACAGAACAATGGATCGATATGCCGTCGTGCATGATTATAGAGCTTCATTGAAGGATAAAAAACCTAAAAACATCAGCCTTCTCATGAATAGTTCCAAAAATGCGGTCGATTTTCCAAAACAAGGCAAAAAGCAACCTTTTGGACTCTTTTAAATTCAATACTAAGGAAAAAAAATCTTCAAAGATTGCAAACAAATCTTATAGGAGTCTTCTTCTTTCAATCCATGAAATACCTTTATAATCTATGTGCGATCACTGGTTACCGAGATATCAGTAGTCGATGGCAAAAGAATGTTTTTTCATTCAGGTACGTATCGATTTTGAAAACATTATATTGAAGCTGATGCTGGCCTAACAAAAACTACTTATAGTTGTTAGTGTCACCTCTTCGCACGTACCATTCATATTAAATCAGGCCCCTGGTTTGCTTGCGCAAATTCCTATAGGGGTGTAAATCCAACATAAAAAATTGACTTATTTAAACTGGGCTAACGAATATGGTCAGGACCTGTCAAAGTATATGGCTTTATAATCATTGATTATAAAATGCGGTTTAGCAGTTATTCAAAGTAAACCATTTTCCGGTATCGTCTTTAGGGTTTTCGTTTTTTATAAAATCTTCATCACATTACTTTTATGTTATGCTGCTCCCTACTATTCTAATGCAACTTGTAGATCCAAAAACTAAGAAGAAGCCGTTCGGACGGGTGCAAGATGAACTGAAGAGGATGAAGGAAGAGAAGACAGCAAAACGGGAGGAGTTCCTGAAGAAAAAAGCAGAAAAAGACGAAGCAAGAAGGAAATATAAAATGGAGAAAGTTGAAAGGTTCAAGAAGTTGTCCAGGAAGACTAAGAAGGGACAGCCGATAATGAAAGATAGAATAGAGATGTTGCTGGAAAAGATACAAAAAGATTTACAGGCGTAATTTTGTTACTTAACTGTGTAATATCAGTTTTTTAATATAACACTTTTTGTAATAATAAATCATAGTTTGATTGTTTAGCTCTTGTCCTAACAAACTCATGATATTGACAAAAACAAGGAGAAAGCGGGAAACATTTAATAGTGTTTTATCAACTGCTCTCGGGATGTTCGAGTTTCCTATTTGATAGTTGTATCACACATTTCAAATAAGTAATGCAATTTCAGAACAACAGTAGAATGGTCAATGGCCTGCCACATTCAAACTACAGAATAATAATAATGAAAAAAACTGCCGAAGCAAAATACTTATTAAGGCTTCATAGAGACAAGCCTGTGCATGGAATCTTCTACCTACCGACCTATAGAGGATCATGGTTTATCTAAGCAGTTAACGTTCCCATTTCTAAGGTCTAGTGGATTAAATTCTGTGACAGAGGCTGGTCAAGATAATGTCGTTAATACCTTGATATACCGTAGTAGGGTTTTGGGTGCGGATGTACCCGGTACCAACTGCAGAGCATGTCACCAGCCGCTAGATACGCTAATGTATCTCTCGTCAGCGTGTAGAATATAAGCTGACACCGCTTACGTCTAACGGGACAACGCAGCTCTGCGAGTGCTATACTATAATTTGAGGTACACCTACGGTGTAGATGAAACACCTGTGCTGACCTATGCTCCAGTGGATATTGAGTTTGTTGTGGAGAACGAGAAATGCTGGATTTACTTTACTCATCCCCGTCGGTCGAGCTTGTGCAGAAGGCGATGTTCGTTATTGAACGGAACTCTATATCGTCGAAAGAGGAGGAAAGACGGACCAAATATCAGGAGCCCCTCAATAAGCTGCGCAGGATTTGACCCGACCACACTGTCAGTCTGCTAGTCATGGTCATCGGATCCTTGGGTGGAATGAGGAATATACTGCTGTCTGCAATGAAATCAATACCGGTATGCAAAGTATCGGCAAGCATCTTAGCAGGAAGAATCTAAAAAGTGGTCATCCTCGGTTCCCTCCGTCTACTTTGGGCACACGATTTGCGGAGCAACTTGTTGCTTACCTTACGGTGTGAGGAGTGGCTAGGTGGTAATGGAACATCATCTTGGTGTGTTGGAGCACAGGTTGTCTATTCTACTTTTCTTTTTCATAATAATGGTCTTTATTACAATAAACTACAAAATGCGAGATGTAGCTCAAAGCTACTCTTAAACCTAACCTTCAGTAGCAGATATTACATTTCCAAAGGGAGTGCATTGAACTGATTGGTACGTAAAGCTTCTACAGAAAAGACTTGTTTATTGGAAAGGCCTAGCTGAGATATAAGTAATCTGTTATATCTAGATTATGCTGATTTAATCTGAAAATTGATTTGTTTTTGAGCAGTGGCGGTTCTAGGATTCAACATCTGGGGGGCTGAAAGAAATTCGAAAGAGTGAATAACATTTTGTTTGCATTATATTTAAAGTTTACTTTTACATTGGTTGGGTTCCAGTACCATACATAAAATACGGGTATTCATACAAGATTATAAATAAAGATTTTATTCATGGAAAAACTGCATTTCAACAATCTACGTTAGTCCAGTCCAACGTTTCAAGTCGACGAGGTTTGATTTGACAAAATGTTTCAACGACTTCTCTAACTGAAACGTCAATTTCTCTGTGAATGTTGCTCAAAGCTAGCCCATTAAGTCTAGGCTCAGACATGTTTTCACGCAGGTAGCTTTTCAATCTCTTTAGCAGAGAAAAAGTCCGTTCAGCAGTTGCTGAAGTGACAGGGATCGTTGAAAATATTTGCAGCAACGTTTCTACGTTGGGAAAAACATGATTGAGTCCACTCGATTTAATGTTCTGTAGTGTCTCAAGTGCAGTTTGGACTTTCTTTAATTGCCCGTGTTTACAATTCTTGTGCCACAAAATAATTTGTTTGAGCTCTGTTTCGCTGCATTCTTTCTGTCGTTTTCATATATTTCCGCTGCATTCACAATTTCAGTCTAACTCTCTAGACCCAGAATATCCAAAAACTTTCCCTTAAATCTTGAGCCCTAAAAAGAAATCATGAAATCCAGAAATGGATAGTAAACGGTGGACCTGAAAAAACATCGAATACACGTCTTAAGGCCCGTATGGTCAGTCGTCCCTACAATAATTGTAGGGCGCCTTTATGGCCTCCTTGAGTTTTCTACTTCTCCGTGTCAGCGCTCTATTTTGAGGTTATGTCACAAACATCTATTTGCATCAAATTGTGCTTGCTTTTGAGTTATATCATGTTTTATCAGCCTGAAATTTCCTACAATTTAAAAAGAAAACATATCTTCACAATAGGAGAGCGCTGACGCTGACACGGGACAACTGTAATCTAGAAATTTTTGAAGGAGAGAAAGGAGTATGACAATCAAGAAGGCCATAAGCGCGCCCTAAAATTGTAGGGACGACTGACGATACGGGCCTAAGTCATGATCTTGGCTATTATAAATTGAAGTTCTTAATTCGGAAAACAAACCAGAAATATACCAGAAGCTCCGTACCCTCGGTTTGTAGATTGGTGCGGTTTTTTTGCCGACCGTATAAACGAGGAAACTTCAACTCGAATCCAATTTCGTCGGCGATTTTCTTGGTTTCTCTGAAAATTTCATCAAAAGATGCTTCATTCTTTCTTGTTTTGAGTAACGAGTCGATAACTTTGGCAAAGTAAGCACAAGCTGATGAAATTTGAAGTGCTGCTGTATGGAGAACCCTGCTCAGTGTCACGATTGGAGCATTGACTGTTGTGAAGACTTGCAGAGAGATGAGGAATTCGGTTTTCTCCATAGCACTCATTAGTTGTGTCGCCTTAGATGATGTCTCACAGTCTCTATCATTCTTCAACTCTTGTAATGCTCCAGCAATTCAGAAAATGTGTACACACACGTTTTTCAACCCAACGAGTATGTTAGTGCAAAGAGTTTTCAAACGATTTTTTTTGTATCCAGACCTGCATTTTAGATTTCATCTTGCAAAAGTTGAGTTCTTTTTGCAGAATTTGTGAAAAAATTAATTGTCGAAGAGACTGTGCCAATCATATTTCGAATATCCCGAATTCCGCACGCCTTCAAAACACAAATTCAATGAGTGGCTGAAGCAATGGGTGTAGAATGTCAAAGGTTGTTGTTCAGATATCAATGCGTGGAGTTTGACCCTCCGTCGTACCCTTTGCCACGTAAGTAGGCGATATCCAAATCAAAGGCCGCCAATTGTTCCATGATTACTTCCATCACATTCCCGACTTCGACTTCAAACTAATAAACCCAAGAAAATCTTCACGGATGACATGTTCGTCCACATATCGATCACATAAAGTCAGCTGCACCATTTTACTTGCGTCAACTGTTTCGTCGCAAATTATAGAAAAAAAAAATGATTTCTTGATTCGCCGGATTACTTTTGACAGGATCGTTTGTCGTATGGTATTGATAACTTTGTTTTGGATCGTGTTACTTGATTATTGTGCAGTTTTTGGGTGCCGTATTCAAATGCTGTCTCGTCATTATCACCTGCTTCTACACGAAATGCCAAAAGCGCTCGAAAAACTCCTTCTTGGCCTGATAGGGCGGTATCTTGTTTTTCTGCAGTCTTCATGTCACCGGTGTCTCTATGTCCCCGCAATGGCAAATTATTACGTGAACAACAAAGGATTGTTTTCACTATTGGGTATAGACGCTTTCGATTGTTTTCCATTATTTCTTGTTTCTTCTTATCGAGCATAACATCCATGGAACTGGCATTTTGTGTTTCCATGTTTCTGATGAAGTGAAGAACTTTTTCTTCAGAAAAACGATGGTATAGTGTCTTCATCTTTATTTGTTCAACGGAACAGTAACAAACGTTTTCAAGGGCTGCGAACAAAAAGAAATTGATTTCTTAAATTTTGGAGAAATTTCAATGTGTTTTAAATTTGTGGAAATCAAAGATTTACTAAAACATCTAAACGTTCAGTAGTCTCAAAACTTCTGTGATACTTTCGAATTGCTAAAAATTTGCTATACTATGCATCTCTGCATTCGTGCCTCTATAATAGTCAATACCGCGTTTAATCAGCACGGCTAGACCGCCACCTCGACCATTCAATCTGTCATCACGGACATCATAATTCGGGAGAGCTAGAGAATATACCGGATTTAGCAACGTTTCCTGCAGCAAGGCTACATCTATACCGTCATCCAAAAGAGTTTGATGAAGTTCCCGTTTTTTGGGAATATCCCTTAGGCCCAAACAATTCCAAAAAAGAATTTTGAGAAATACAGGCTGTCTACTATTGTACCCAGCCATTCATAGGAAAGATCGCCTGCAAAGCTTGAGTAGCGCTAATCAATCGACTTATTATTTGTTGTAAGGACTTTAGCGCGGTTGCCAGGTCCACATTCTGCGCGTTCAAGGGAGGTTAGGCCAGTCCCAGCAGTTCGTGTTCATTGAATACTTGGTGGGACTTTTCACTCTTGGGCAGTATCACGACCACCAAAGGCATGGGCGCGCCGCCACTGCGCCTCAATCGAATAATATGGAGAGGCTATATCCCCTCTGTTCAAGTTCTTACTTAATCTCAGAATCCAAAATGTTGACGGGAACTCCTCGAACCACCGCGTGGATGTTCCGTTCCGAAGGGAGACGAAAAGCGTGATGGGGCACTTCTTCCTCTCGGAACAGTCGAACGATCTTACGATAGTCTTCCTCAGATTTAGGAATAATCCTTATTCCCGCATCGACAGCAACCGCGCGATTTATTTTAATGCCTAGTTAACGTACGCCATCTCGCACCATCACGCAGAACAATAGGGGTTTCGCGCCTTTGGCGTGAAGGTTGGCTTGAAGCCACGTCGGCTGAGCGAGATGGCTGAGGAGGAGTGAGATTGGCTGACGGAGTGACCTTAGAGGTAGATAGTGTAGTCCCTCCGCCAACCGATGACAAAGGTTTGGTAGTAGACATAGTGTTACTGCTATTTTGTTTTGATGAAGCGGGGGAGGTGCGTAAAAGAGTGGATTCGGTATTTGGAAGAGGTGGAAAGTCCTCGGCTCGTCGGTCAGTCTTGTTGCTTCTCCTCCTTCTAGATTTTGTGTTTATAAATCGGTGTGTGTGTGTCATCGTCTGTGGATGTATATTGATCGTCGGTAATGGTCCGTAGCGGTCTCTTTAGGCTGTTGATCCGTTCTTTGGGGGATTCTTTCGAACTTACTAAAAGAGTTACCTGGGCGGTCAGACTATCAATTTTTGCCGTCTGGTCCTTGATTGTCTGCATGAGTTCTCGGATTTGCCTCGCCTGGTCGTCATCATCAGTTTTTCGTTGGTTTTCTGCTCCGATGAAGTCTGCGTCAATGGGCCCATGCTTTCAGTTTTTGAACGGGATTCGCCGCCGCTCAGCTCCTTCCCCATTATCAGTGGTACTGCTTCCTCTTTGAACCCTCCTGGGTCAACTTCCATATTAAAATAGCTTTCTCTTTCCAACAAACTCGTAAAAACTTTTAAGCTCGCAAATGTGACAGTGTTGTCAAAACCCTTCTTACAGGGCGTTCCATTTCTGTTCGTTGCATGCTAAGGTTGAATACCTGGCACGTTTACCAATAGGAGCACGCGAATTTAAACATCGTGCGCTGGTATTTGTTTCGACAGGGACTAAATGAGATTTGACTATACATTTACATACATTACTGATATGTCAGAACAATATGCCTGATTTATTGTCGAATATACAAAAGGTACTATAAAAGTTTTGCAATACAGCTTTATTTATTAACTTCGTTCAAAGCAATTTCTACCTCATTCAATACATTTCTGCATCCGCCAAAACCAGTCTCTGCCAAGTTTCACCCGGAAGTGCGGCACACTCGTTGTTCCAAGCCCTCAAAAGTACATCATCGCTAGAAAACCGTTTTCCTTTTATTTAATTTGCGGAAACAGTGCAAAGTCGCAGGGCGCAAGATCTGGACTGTAAGGAGGGTGCTCAATGAGATTCACTCCAGTAGTGGTCAAATACTCGGTGCAGGCTTTGGCGCAGTGAGCTCGAGCGCTGTCATGGTAGAGGTACCAAGTGTCTATTCTTGACTTTGGCCGCAGGTTTATCATAGACTCTATAACTTTAGGCAGGCACTGTTCCGTGTACCACTTTGCTGTGACTGTCTTCTGTGTGTCCAAAACGACACGCCCCACAATCCCGCTCGATTTGAAAAATACAGCTATCATTTTTTTCTTAACAGATCGGGATGTTCTGACAGCTACGGGTGTGTCCTCATCAATGACCCAAACTTTGTTCTGCGGCTTGGTCGGCACATCGTAATAATAGAGCCAAGTCTCGTCACCGGTCATGATGCTGTTCACATACCGAGATTGCCCATTATCAAACATTTTCAGCATCTTTCGGCACCAAGTCGTACGAGTCTTCTGCTCTTCCATCAGACTATGCGGTACCCAGAGAGAACAGTTTCCTTATGTGCAAATAGTCATGCAGAATTAAATCAATTGCTGGTGCATGAAGGTGTTAGGTCTCCTCTATCTGTTGGTATGACACTCTCCGGTCTTCGTCAAGCATTTTCCTCGCCGCATTCCTTCCCTCTCAGCGTCATCCAGAGTGATAATGCCCATTTGGAATTCTCTGTACCACCTGACTATATTCGTTCAATGACGACAATCATTCTTTAATGCAAGCATCATTTCTTCTAAGCACTGGTCTATCCTTAATCCACGCGAAAAGTTATACCCTTATCTCACTACGTGACCACGATGCCATAGTCCGCACTTTACACTGTCAATAAGAATGAACAACTTAATCAACAGACATGCTGCTGGCGGCTACTATGCACTCATGGACATGTCTCAGCATGCGTCCCTTTGTTAGGTCATATTGCATAACTTTCATAGTATATGAGTTCAGCTCAAAATTATGACTTGGCGAACATTCAGAATCTGAAACTTTGATTTGAATGTTGGGGATGGATGTTTGGATAAGGAAAATGATGCGTCGGCAGTGGAGAATATGGGTACGAATGCTTACTTGTACCAGTGTTGTAAAAAATCACGATTTTTTGAAAAAATTAAAACATCTTTTTTTCGATCAAATCGAGTTTTTTTTATTTCTATCAATTTCTACTGATCTTTTCCTTAAATATGGCAATAATGAACTTTGAAATAATTTATTTTCATTATTTTTCTTTATTCGCTCAAAAATATGGTCTAGATTTGTAATAAGAAAATCTCCTTGGCGGCATACAAAAAAAAACTTGTGTTGATGTGTCAAGTCGATGCCGTAGTGAGACAAACAATTCTAATATCTATTTAAAAAGATCTCCTGAAGACTATTTAGTGATTCTGAAGCCTATTTTTGTTCATTGGTGGAGTTCTTGCAACCCTTTCTGATATCGTACAATAATTGTTTGAGGAGACAGATTTTACTTTAAGTCAAATACAAAAAATTACAATACAAACAATGCATCACTCCATATATAATCTGTTAGCATATCTTCTTGATCCGACAAAACCAGAACATGTATTAGCAGACGTGTGCTTTGAAAGCCACAAAAGAACTACTTCCCAGTGGGTTCTTGTCACTGATAATCCAATTCCTGGTGAAATCAGATCCTTCTGCCGACATAAGAAGAAATTCTCAAAACTTCTGAAGCCTTAAATTGGTGGAAATAACAACAGAATGTCGACGCTATCAAAAAAGGACTTTCCACCATTAAATATTAAATACCTTGAATCGTAAAAACCGCTAAATTAGTATTTCTGTATAAGTATTACAATTGACTTCCTGATCACATATTTTGTGTTTATGTTTTTTGTAGGTTAGCCTGAGAAGCGGTTTTGTTCACTGTACATATTGTAATACCATTTATGTATTCGTTAATAATTTTTATTTATTACTTATTCATGTAGGTAATATTATAAACTATAAACTGTGTTGGTGGTGAGAGCAGCTTTATAGCTGATACTTACCCGCCAGGTAAAATAAAGCCCTATTATTATTGAACTGTTTTTGTTGATGTAAACTGTGTTTTTGAAATTTAATCCATGAATATTTACGTTGGACTGATGACGATTAGTTGTATTTAAACATACATAATGTACGTAAGCTCTTGGTTTAAAATTAACTATCTTCTTCTTTTTTTTAATTTCAGTTATTTCATATTTGATTTAAATCACGATTAAAATTGAAAAACCGATTGATTTAATTCAAGGTTTAAACCGTTGCAACCATGTCACTTTTTTGGAATATGTACGAAAATTACGGATGACCTGGCTGAAATGGTGATACAGTCTTTTTGATTTCATCGCCTCAACCAGAAACCTATATTTACCTATCGGTGTTAGTGAGATAGCTTTATTGGTTGGACATCTCAGAAACATTAGTTGTGGTCAAATTTGGGCTCACAGAGTTTCTTTGCCTTAACAACCTGTACCGACTCTTAAGAGGAGACGCATTGCATAACTGCTTGTGCTTAAGGATAATTGATAATTATTGAAATCATTCAAAAAATATCATTTAAGTGACATAGTGGCACTATGCAAAACTTTGCCCCTAATAAAGACGATTATTATTATTATCATCATTTATAATGTATTTATTATTATCTATAAAACCTGTGAGACAGATATTCTAGAACGGAAGTTCAGGAAAATGACCATACATTAACAATAAACGAGCATATTATACTGCTGAAAAAATAGATATAAACTATAATGATGTTAGTTGATATCATAGTTGCGTCTTATCTAATGTACCCATGTATGATAAAGAAGAACAATGTTATTGTATCCCAATTTGATAAAATCCAGAAACTTACATATGTAGCAATTACCGATGTTGAGAATTATGTTACAGTTATTATAAATCTACCATTTTTGCAA